GTAATGAAGAAAGACAAAAAGGGAAAAAGAGGGAAAAGAAAACAAAACAAAACAAAAAAGAACAAGAAAATCCCAAAAAACAGAAAAAAAAAAGAAAACAACAACAACAACAACAAAAACCCAACGTAAAAAGAAATGTCCTCAGGGATCCCTGTGCACGTCTGTGCAAGCTGAGCAGGTAGTCTCCTTTCCATGCAGCACCGCCTGGCCAGAAAGGGCTCCAACTGAAGAAAAGGAAAAGAAAACAAACAATTGAAAACAAACAAAGGAACAAAAGCCCCGGGATCCCACCAGCGTGGCAGCCCAGACTGGGAAGCAGTTCCACACTCGAACGGAGATCCACAGCCCCTCAGGAAGAAGCAAAGATGGCGTACGGAGCCAGGTATTTGAGCGAAAGGAGGGGGAGGTGGTGACAGGTAAGGAAGAAAGCAAAAGAAGCAGAAAAAAGCAACACCAGCAGCCAACAAATGGCACTCAGAGAGCCGGCCCGTTCGGGTGTGTGGAATCCAGGCAGCCACTGTTTCCCAGACAAGAGATTGCGGACACGGGAAGTAGAGGAGGCTGAGTGGGGGTGAAGATGGGTGGGGGGGTGGGAAAGCATATATCGCAAATTACCGGTTGTTTTGTCTCCCGCTGGAAGCTCCATGAAGCTGCTTTCTCTTACCCCGTTTGCTGGTCTCCGATAGGAGTCCAAGATGGCGGATCTGCGCTGCGTTAGCTGGTAGGGGACCTCTGCATGAATCTCTCCTTGCTCTCCGTTCTCTGTCAGTTTTCTCACTCCATTTGGTGCTTGGCTGAGTTCTTTATCTCTTCATTTGATATTTGATATTTTAGGGTTTCAGGATTGTTCTCTGTTCGGCTTAGTTTTTCGGATCTTTGCTGTGGATGGACAGCGTGGTGCTTCTGTGTAGAGCGCCATTTTGCCAGAAGCTCTACATACACATTTTTATAGGGCACAGATTTTATATTAAAATAGGAGAGCTATATGGAGTTAGGAACAAGTTGAGAAAGTCTGTAATTCCATCCAAGAGTAGGTAGTATGCCTCTGACAGCAAAGCTTTCTTAAGTGAGGCCCATGAATCTAAATATACATGCAAAATTCTATTAATTGTTTATTTTTCTGGGGAGGTGGACTGGATTTCATTAGATTTTTCAAAAAAGTCCATTTATACTTCCCAGAAGCTGTGATGGCAGTTTTAATGGCTTTCACCAGGTAAACAATAAACCATTGCATATGGAGCACCCAGCCTTTTCCGTTTGGTGATCCCCAGGCATGGATTCCTGTGAGACATAGGCTCTAGATTAAACTTCTATATATTAAAATGAACTATTAAGACATAAACAAAAATGCTGAGATATATTTCTGTAGCAGATTTAAAACAGAACCAGCATACCGTGGCACCCTGATGACTGTTTATCATCAGTTATTCTTGAATCTTGGCATTCTGTTCTTTACAAGGTCTTTTTCTCCCGTAGACCTTGTAGTGAAAGGTCTGAACTAGAGACATTAATTTGCAAATTACCTATACTGAAATGATGAAAGCCATGCTAAAGGAGCTTCCTGAAGGAGTGAACAGAAACAGAGAAGATGGGAGAAAAGTACTGTATTGGTTTTTGGAATCCACCATTGAAGAGCAGGTTTGGAGGGGGAGGAAGGATAATCAATAATGGAAACAGAGGAGGAAGGAGAGAGCTAAGAGAGTGCAATGAGAAGGAAATTTTAAGATGGAACGGGTGGTTGGTGGTACATGGAGATCAAGAGGGTTGAGGAATGAGAAAAAGTCTTTGGATTTTGGCATTGGTGACTCAAAAGAGCAATTTTACTCGTGTATAGAGGTAGGCATGATATTAGATGATAAAGAAGGGAATTTGGTCAAATGAGAGTACAGTTCTTCATAATATCCTCTTATATCTTTACTGTCTGCAGGATACGTAGTGATATCCTTTATTTCTCTTACTGTTATGAATACACTCAAATTTTATCTTTACTCCCAAGATTTGTAAAAATTTAATAATTCAAATAATTCAATTTACCATAAGTTTGGAATTTATATATTTATATATATAGGGTAAGGAACCTCTGATGCTGTGATGATAGACAATGAGAGCATATGAAAGAGATATAACTGTAGTCAAATATAAAAATAAGAAAGCCTCTTGGTACAGCCGTATCATTTTATTAGAAACATTTAAATTACAGGTCTGTGGGGGTAGAGGTGGAAGAAGCATTTAAAAGGTTCCTTTAACTTAAACTAAGAGGGTGAATTTGGAAAGGACAAAAGTAAGTTACAAGCCTGTGGATATATTACTGGAGGATAAAAACTATCCATAAATTCCAAAAGTTAAAGCTAATTGGGGGGGGGGGGAATCTAACTAGAAAGAAAAAAAATTCTGATTATTTATTCCTCTGAGATTTTTTTGCCCATTTTATATGGGTTTATTTTTTCCAAAGTCTTATTTGTACAGATTATGTAAAAATGATTCTCATTTCGTTTTCAACATACTAAAAATACACATTAACCACAAAAAGTACTTACTCTGACGGAAAGGAAAATGAACATGGCTATTTTCAAAACAGTAAACACAAGAAGCCAACATATATAAATCATGACGTGTACATCTCATTTTTGAAAAAAATAAGTTGTTTTTTACATTAATGCTTTATTATCCAGCTTCTATATTAGACCCTCCAACCTTATTTACATTTACTATGAAATTTCTATCAGCATGTGTAACTCAAAAGGCACTCAATTCAGAGGTTATAAAGTCCTGAGCTTCAGTAGGAAACAGGATTCTCAAATAAAATCTGAACATAAATAATTCTAAAGATCAGAGAATATGAAAATATTTAAAGTGTAATATCTGGTACATAAACAATTCATGACCTAATAATAAAATTGTACAGAACATCAATGTACAAATTGAAAGAACATCTGTAACTGGCCATTCAAATGATTCCTTTAACATTCTTTTAGCTGAATAAAAATAAATTTACAGATGAATAACTGAGGTTCACTAACATTAGATAGGGTCAAAGTTTAAGCTAAAAATTAAGTTTGTATTTGGTTGCAGAGAAATGTGGAATTTATCTACAGCAATTTTTTCTACTGATATTAAATAAAAAATATGAGTTGACATCTTTATAACATAAATGGTTTGAAAGATATTTTCTTGGCTTTAAAATATTTTTTTTTGTATGTGCATAGAAATGTAATGAGGATAAGAATAGTCTTCTGTACTATCTGTTATAGTTCATAAGGCCTTTGTCATTGTTAGTTTCCTTTGATGTGATTATCAGTACAGCCATTAAATTAAAGCTGGCCGAAGAAGTTTTCAAAGTGCTACTGGTTCCAACTGATGAGATCCTCAGTTTTCTGGATTTTCTGGGTGACGATTATTTTCAATTCTCTTTTCTGGTGATATATACAGGAAGTTGCAGCAGATATATAAAGGGAAGATCAGAAGCCTGCTGTCCAAGTTCATCACCACTTGTTCCTATAAAACAAATTTGCAGCTTTAATGCCAAGAGAACTAGATAGTAATATTGAAAAATAAAATAAACCAAACTGCTGAATTGAGTGAACTGAAGGCAACAGATTGTGATTAAGAGCTTATGTTCTGGAATCTGAGAGCCACAGCTCAAGTCTCAAAACCCACTAGCAGTGTGACCTCGGGCAAGTCACTGACTTTGTGAACTACAGCTTCCACACTGCAAAATGGGACAATAAAGAGTACCCACCTCATAGGATTACACTGAAGATGAAAAGAGACAATGCATGTAGAGGGCTTAGCACAGCCAGCCATGTATTATGTACTCAATAATGGTAGTTATTTTTGTTTACTGCAAACTTTCTATCAACTACCTACACATTTGGGAACAGATACAGTCTTCAGAATATACACACTTCTCAGTTGGCTTCAATTTCTGATGGCGCTCAGGCATACCAAATCATTGGATGAAGGTGGGGAGTCATTATTATCACTGATGAGCTGGTTCCAACTTTTGTCGAAGATTTCCCACTGTCCCTAAGACAAATGTTATTTCTTGGAATGTAAAATACATTATCACGAGATAATGTATTTTAGGTTTAGTTACATCAATACACACAGACAGAACTGATGCAAACGTTACCATCACTCATGCCAAAGAGCTCCCTTCCGGTAACCTGACACACCCTTCACTAGCCTTTGGTGAATAGAAGAGATTCTCCCAGAGTAAAAGAAATAGCACTGAAATGACAATTCCTACTTCCTGAATACTTGGATACATTCTCTGCAAAAATATGCATTAGATTTACTTTATTATATACATTTTGGAGAATATACTACTAATCATTGTTTAAATCTAGAGTTTAGAATTTGTTACTGAGGCATATGCTCCTGCAGTGAAGTGGGACTAAAACTAGCATATCTGAGTGACTGAGTAGGCTCAACTGGACACAGCTTCTGTGGTGGGGGAGAAGGAAGATAAATTTGCATAAAGAAGGAAGGGAATACAGATGACAGACACAGACACAAAATCTCCATACAACCCCAAACAGGGAAAGTAGTGTTTAAAGAAAAAAAACTCTAGTGAACAAGATGGATAAGGTGATGGATCAGGCCAGGTGGTCACCGAGGCTGACGGTGCTGTTACCAGACAGGAAATGATGTTGAAGCATAATTGGTCTTTAGATCTTTGGGCCACCCTGGCCTAGAAACGTTTGTATCAATAACCTGGGTGAGGCACGTTTACTAAACTTACTGAGGACAAATGATTTGACAATATGTATATCTTAAGACAAAAATCAACATTTGGTACCGTGACAAAAAACAGACTCTTAGGAAGATTAGTGAGAGACATTCTGGTATTTGAGTATAGTTAAGGTTGGGGTGGGAGAGGGTGACTCAGCCAACTCCGGGAAAAGAAGGGAGCCACGTGGTCATCACTTGGGGCTGAACGGACACACCAATTTCTGAAATATTAAATTGCATTAAGCCCTACTCCCCACCTCCAAATTAAGCAGATCTAATCCTACCTTCATCAAACCTTTAACTTCCTGAAGGCTCAACTTACATCTGCTTTTTGCACTGAACCGTCTCTATAGCTAAGTTTCACTTTCCTTGCTCCACTACGAAGTGGAAGCCGTGTAGCCCAAATGCATCGGCATCAGACAGCAGCAGCGTCTTCCTAGGCCTTCATTGTTTACCTCCAGACCATTATTTCTCCATCTTCATGTACAAATTCCTGCTTCTCTGAGGCTCCTGCCATTTATTCTATACTGTACCTCTGTTACTTCTCCACATTCTTATAGGTCTCAATTCCAGAATCCATAAATCCAACTCCCTACTGGAAATCTTCAATTCAAACTCAAACTCTCAGCTACTGGTTACTACCTCTTCCTTCCTTTCCTTGTGTGCCATCTGCACTTTCACTCTTGCGATTTGGCTTTGACTCTCCATCAACGCCTGGAAATAGGCATTCTCATATGCTACCTACCACGTCAGGGAATCAGCTCTCTGTCACTAACGAGCTCCAACAGTGGCTGGAGGACCCTCTGTAAGAATGCTGCAAAAGGAGTTCTCAGACAGGGCATGTGAAGTTTATCACTTCTAAGGTTCCTCGTAATGCTAAATTCTGATGGGTATATTGAGTCTCTTCAGTCTAAGGAAAACTGCTAACTTTCTCTAATAATTTACGTGAACAGGGGTACTGGTGGTTCAGTGGTAGAATTCTCACCTTCCACACGGGAGACCTAGGTTCGAGTCCCTCAGGTGCACCCACCACCTGTCTGTCAGTGGTGGCTTGCGTGTTGCTGTGATGTTCAATAGGTTTCAGTGGAGCTTCCAGATGAAGACAGACTGGGAAGAAAGGTCTGGCGATCTACTACTGCAAATCAGCCAGTGAAAACCAATCTGCAACTGATCATGGGGATGGTGCAGGACCTGGCAGTGTTCTGTCCCACTGTGTGTAGGGTTGCTGCCATGAGTCAGGGGCTGACTCGACGGCAGCTAACAACAGCATAGGTGCTCAACTTTTCATTAAAACCATATGCCCTTTGAAATGGTGAGTAGTTTCAATAGAAATAAACTTCTTTAATATTTTAACAGCTCTCACTTCTTGAAAATGGTTACTTTCTCATCACGACACACTGAAACTTCTACATGCTTATGATATATGAAGAAACAAATGGTTTTAAGAGGTAATTTTGGGAACCTTACAGGTATCTGCCATTTTACAAACCTATTTTGCTAAAGAATAAAGTTCTCTTAATATCCAGGAGCTATGGAGACATACTGAATTGCCTTCTTGGTGTTTGCTGCAGATGTATGAATAAATGTGCTTATGTGCACAATGTATAAAGCCATTAAGATTATAACTTTTTGAAGATGATATTCAAAAGAAACAATTATTTTCCTATTATCAGCTTTCTTCTGCCCCTCAGATCAAACTACGTTTCCTTTTCTTTCTTTTTTTGTCCTAGTCAGTTGCTAGTGGGATAGGGTAAGTTATGCAAAAGTGAACATGGTATTTTAATCATTACCTTCAAAAAATTTTCAAACCAACCTTTAAATCAAATATCATTAAAGTTAATTCTACTTAAGAATTTTCAAGGGGATTCAAAAGACAAATACTGCAATGGAACAATTAACAGAAAAGTAATCAAACGTACCTGGTCCTTTTCAAGTGTAAGTATTTGATATCCAGTTGTTCTACTACATATTAGTTTTCCATTACTATCAAAAGAGGCCAAACGTAATCTAGGATTATTAAAAAACAAAACAAAACTCAAAAAAAAAAATACACATGAACCATAGATTAATTTAAATAAGCCTTTTCTCACATTAATATTTACTTTTTTATCTTCCAGATCTCTATAAGACTTTAAAACATCTTTCCAAGCTACAAACTAATTCTATTCAGATTTACAAGCCTGTGCTATTATAGATATCTGAGATATAAAATTGATTTACAAACATATGACTTTTAAATAATCTGTGGAGTCCCTGGGTGGTGCAAACAGTTAATGGAATTGGCTGTTAACTGAAAGGCTGGAGATTTGAGTCCACCCAGAGGAGCCTTGGAAGAAAGGCCTGGCAATCTACTTCCAAAAAATCAGCCACTGAAAACCCTATAGAGCACAGTTGTACTCTGACATATACGGGGTCGCCAGGAGTGGGAACTGACACGATAGAAACTGGTTTAAATAATCTGTTCATTAAACTATCTTGCAATTTATCAGCTTAACAGCATCCTCTCCAGAGAAAGACTGCCAGCCCAACTATGACGCCAAGCTGGACATATGAAATCCTGTAGAAAGCTAAGGGTAATACAAGACATGTTTCCCTGGAAAAATACTTGCAATTTATCAGCTTACAGCATCCTCTGCAGAAAAAGACTGCCAGCTCAACTATCAGGCCAAGGTGGACATCCCAAATCCTGTAGAAAGCTAAAGGTAATACCAGACACGTTTTCCTGGAAAAATACCTCACTGTATTTCTAGTCTGGACCTTATATTTGCTAGAAATAGCAGAGGTGGTAGCTTCAAGCTTAGTATCAATCCTGTAGCATTCATATCCCAGCCCAGTCTTTCTGCCTGACATACTGGATCTTATGACTTTGATTATTAATCCATTCCGTATGAATAGACCTTACTATTTCCTAGCACTTTCATGTATATCGTATCTTACCAAAGTTCTACTAGCACTGGTGTAAATTATCAACGTTTTATTTTGTTTTGTTTTGTTTTTTTCCCTCTGGAGTGAGAAGGACTGGGGTAGTGGAAATCTCATCTTACCTAAATGCTATGCTCCTTCGAGGCTGTAAACTGACAGATCCGCTACATGGCTGATTCAGTGTATTGCGTTTGAAAATGATGTATCGATTGGTATAGGTTACAAGTAGGTCAAAGCCGAAGTTAAAACCTGTCCACCGCCAGCAGTACTAAGAAATACAAAAGAAAAAAAAAAAAAAAAAGGTTTGTTACAGTTTATATTAGCAAGTCAAACATAAAAAGTTCATCTGAAATGTCTGCTTTTTCTCTAACTCATTCCAAACAGTTCTCTCATGGGTCCCTACTTTTTGTCAGTGCCTTTCCCTTAAGACTTACCACACAGAATTATATACCCAAACCAGAAAAGCAGCCTTTATGGTTATTCCTTAAGCCACTTTCCAGTCTCACCTCTTCATCTTCATGGTCTCTTTCATTATCTCTTCATGCTGTAATCCCATCATATATAACATGGCTGTTTACTGCAGCTCTAAGTAGGTATAGCTTAGGGGAGTAGGAGTCTAGATGGAGGTGATAAGAACCTACTAAAATCTACCTTGCTTTAAAAATACTCAAATACTTTAAGTAATTAACCAACAGACACACAACTGGGTTATTTTAAATACTACCATAAGGTTTACAAGTTTGTTTATTCTATCACCTAATATTACCGAGTGACTATTAGGTAAGGTGCCATAGTGAAGTAAAGTTAGGACTTCAACTGCTTGGTTGACGCCCTGAATTACAACATTAATTCAGCATTTAATGGACATTTACTGAGCACACATTTTGTGCCTGGCACTGCTCTAGACACTGGAGACATAGCAGTAAACACAACAAAGTTTCTGCCCTCATAGAGTTTATATTCTAGTATGTGCATATGTTTGTGTGGTAGGAGAGGCAATGAATGACACACGAGCTGGGACAGAATAGCACAGAATGTCAGGAGAGAGCAACAGGTCACAGGTGGGAGGCTTGCAGTTGGGGAGCCTGCTTGTTTAGACAGGTGGTCAGGGAAGGTCTCTCTTGAGAAGATGCTGTGAGTAGAGACCTGAGTGAACTGAAGAGGTAGACCAGGCAGCTATCTACGGAAAGAGTGTTTCTGACAAAGAGAACAAGTACAAAGCGCCGGTGGTAAAAACATGCTTGGCATATCTGAGGAAGAGCAAGAAGGGTTACATGGCTGGGGCAGCGACGGAGGGGGACAGAAGCTGAAGACGAGTTTGGAGAGGCAGCTGAGGCCCAGATACTGTAGGGCCCTGTAGTCCATGGTAAGGAAGAGTTTGGATTTTATTCTAAGTATGGTGGGAAGCTAATAGAGGGTCTAAGGGAAGGAAGTGACACAATCCAACTTGCATTGTAAAAAGATCACTTTGGCTGATGTGCGGAAAACAGAATGCAGAGGGGTAAGAGTGAAAATAGGAAGAGCAGTTAGGAGGCTACTGCAATGGCCCAGACAAGAGATAATGGTAGCTTGGACTTGGGTGGTGGGGGGTAGACATGCTAAGAATATACTTTGAAGGTAGAGCCTCAAGGAATTTCTTATGGAGAGGAGTGGTATGAAAGGAAGAAGGGTCCAAAATGAATCCAGAGCAATGCAATGGATGAAGAGAGAGACCATTTATGGATTTAAGAATACAGGGAAGGAGGAGGTTTGGGGATGAAAATCAAGAGTTCATCTTGGACTGTTAAATTTGAGACGCCTGAGTCGGAGCCCTGGTGGCACAGTGGTTAAGAGCTTAGCTGCTAACTAAAAGGTTGGCAATTCAAATCCACCAGCCACTCCTTGGAAACCCTATGGGGCAGTTCTACTCTGTCCTATAGGGTCGCTATGAGCTGGAATGGACTCAACGGTAACAGGTTTGTTTTTGTTTTTTTTTGAGTCAGAACTGACTTGACAGCAATTGGATTATTTTATTTTATTAGGTATCCAAGTAAAGATGCCAAGTGAGCAGCAGGATACATGGATCTGAAGCTCAGAAGAGGAGCCAGGAGTGCAGATATACATGTGGGAGTCATCAGTGTACAGATGGTATGGAAAGTCATGAGACCACCTGAGATCACTCAGGAGTGAGCACAGATAAGGAAGAAGTCCAAGAACCGAACGCTTAGTCACATCAACATTTGTTGAGAAGGATGAGCAGATCTAGCAAAGATTCAGGAGGAGCAGCCAAGGAGGCAGGAAAAAACCAGCAGAGCATGCTGTCCTGGAAGTCAAGTGGAGGAGGTCTCTTAAGAAGGAGTTGAGTGAACAAATGTGTCAATGTTGCCAAGAATTCCCAGAAGACTGAACCCTGACGACTTGATTTGGCAGCGGGGAGGTCACCAGTGACACTGACATGGCAGTTTCAGCGGAGCTGTGTAAGTGAGCCAGAGTAGATTCAAGAGAGCATCAGAAAAGAGGAAGTACAGGCAACAGATACAGACAAATTTTTTCAATGAGTTTTGCTTAAGAGAGGAGTAGAGAAATGGAGTGGTAGCTAGAGGGGGATGTCGGGTTAAGATGTGGTTTAAGATGGGTGATGCTGCAGCATGTACATACTTAACGAGAGTGACCCAGCAGTAGAAAAAAACTGATGATGGAGGAAAGGGAGGGATTAACTGTCGGGATTAACCCTTTTCAATAGGTGAGAAGGGATGGGGTACAGTACGAGAGGAGAGGATGAATTAGGGTAGAATCAGAGAGTCTGTTCATTCTAACAGGAGGAAAAGCAAAGTACACGGGTACAGATGCAGATAGACTGGTAGAACTGTTGGTAGGAGGATGTGTATATTCTCTTCCTATTGCTTTTATTTTCCTAAGGAAGTAAGAAGCAAGGCCATCAGGTAAGAATAAGGGTGGTAGTACTGGCTTTTTCAGAAGAGAAGATGTGAGGGTCACCTCAGATAGTAGGGGGATAAATTCACCACGGAGATGTAAGAGGATCACCACGCAGCACTGAAGACCTGCTGAAGTTTACAGTTACAACATTCAGGAGAAACCATTGGGGTATGGCATTTTTCTTCAGTTGCATTTACTTGCTTAGATGCAGGCATGGAGAGCATGAAAAGCTGGGATTTCACAAAAGTTGGGGTTCAGCCAGGTGAGTTTCATACAGTGCAAGAGGGAAAAGGAAAGTTAAGGGTATAAGCACTGTAATGTAAATAAAAAAGTAGGGAGGTCATGTGAGGAGTGATGGACAGGAAAAAGGTGGTAAGAACAATGTACTATATGTCCAGTGGGGTAAAAAAAAAACTTATTGGAATACAAGTATTATAGGGAGAGAGCTGGAAAGATAATAGGAGGTGGAGTCTGAGAAGGAGACGCTTAAAATGTAGATTTTGAAGAGGGTGTAGTAATTAGTAACACAAAAATTGAGGATATACTCAGGGGAATGAGTGCCTGAGGTAGTGTAGAACAAGATCACTGTGGTGGGGGCAGGGTGGTCAAGGAGCTAAGATACTGCAATCACCAAGACTGAGAATAACATTAGTGATAAAGAATGACAGAGAGCCCAGTCAATGACAGCCACCACAAGAAGGGGTAGTGAGCAGTTTTTTGGTGTGTGCTTCAAAGGAGCTGTGGTTCAATGATGCAGAAACTGCATCAACAAGCTCTTCTGAGGTGTGACACGTGCCATGATGGTTACTGAAAGTCCATTATGTGCAGATAATACAATCAGTAAGAGACTACCAAGAGTCACAACCCATACTTACTTCACCATCTTTGGCAAGCTTTCTTCCACACCTCATGCTATGTCCCTCTAGTTCTTCTTTATTGATTTCTTGAGGCCTAAAAAACATGCATAAGACATGAAACCTCATGGAAAATTAGGCAATTAGTCATGGAAAGAGAACTGTGAATTAAACAGAAAAACTTGTTACTAGATTTAAAATAATTTTATTTTTGGTGTAGATAAAAATAAGAATGCCCATTGCCTTTGCTAAATAAAAAAGATTCGAAATCTTCAATATTTTGCCTATTGCCGCAATTTCTAGAATACTTTTTTATAAGGCTCAGCCAAACCAGAGAAGAGGAGAAAACAAAAACAATCCACAAGAAAGGCTGCTCACTGGCAAAACAAAACACTCAAAAGTCTAATTACTAAGCAAAATAAATTAAAATGTATTATTTCTATGAGGTGTACAGCTACCATTGGTATCACCTACCATTTGATATTACTGTTTTACATGCAAACCACTTTTCATGTAGTATAACTATATGAAATCAATATTTAAGAAAAAAAGCTGTCAATTTTTATCAATTAATCTTTACTTGGCCCCTTAGCTTAAAAACCTTAATCAGATAAGACAAACAGTTATTTCAAGTTGTAATAAAAAAATGACATTATTATCAGCTTGGTAATTAGAAATTTGAAAGTAATACAATGCATTCATTCATATATTTGTTCATTTACAGCATTCAGTAAGTGCTAATGGAACAAGTACAATAAATAATGAAACAAGCACAATAAATACAAGTAAATGCTAATAAAACCATATCCTTGACTTCCAAGAGCTAAGTCTAACAGGGAACTAGACATAAGTAATAACTGTAATAATGTGGAGAGGGTTGTGATGTTATGAACATGAAGAAGAGACACATTTATTGCCTGGCGTTAGAGAGGAAACATCACAGAGGAAGCATCATTTGAGCATGAGTGGGGTTTGTTGGGGTGGGGCCGGGGGTGAACTGTACGCAGGGGGAAAGGTATTCCGGGCAGAAGGAATAGTAGATAAAAAGGACCGAAGCATGTAAGAATATCAAATGTACCAAGAATTCCATGCAGGTGGAGCATGAGTATGACAGGAGACAAAGCTGAAGGCATTTGGGGACAGACTGCTGAAGGGCCCTTCCGGCCATGCTAATGAGTGTTGCCAGGCATTTGTCCTGTTACTTGTAAACTTTTCATTACGAAAATTTCCAAACATGTAGAAGTAGAGAGACTAGTATGAGCCAAATTTTCTCACCATCTAGCTTCAAAAATCTTGTTTTAGTTTTACCCACCCCCTCCCTTCTCTCCCTGCTGATTATTCTGAGGTGAATCCTAGACATCATATTTCAATCTATAAGTCGTTCAGTATGTATTTCTTAGAGATAGGGGCTTTTAAAAAATGTTATCACCATACATATCCCACCTAAAAATAGTTAAGAATTCCTCAATTATCATCAGAGATCCCTAGACATATTTAAGCAGAGAAGGGACAGTTGTATTTGTGTTAGGAAGATGACCTGTTGGCAATGTGGAGAACCCTGCAGGGGGGCAGTACGAGACTATGAGCCAGGACCCGGGGACCAGACCGTCCTCCTCACTTCAGCAGCCCTGCAGCAGCAGCACGTTCACTATTCGTGGAACAGGCATTTCATTGGAGGCAATGGTCACATACTTCAGAAGGGGAGAGAGCCACTTAATTCTAGCTGACTCTCTTATTAACCTCAGTAAGGGTATTAGCCTTTAGAGGTGAGAAAAATCTTTGAATAATACAGAACATTAAAAAACTGAATATACAAAAGAAGCAAATTAGTAGGATGACTTACAAAATACTTCATACATTATAAAAATCCTTCAAATCTCAATTCCATTAAATAGTTCCTAGTTTTCGTTTTTGGTCTATTATTTCTAGTTTAATAGTCTTACTGTATTGGTGCTGGATCAGTAGGTTAGGAACCCTTTTTGGAAAAAGATGGGATATGAATTATACATAAAGTAGAAACTAAAAACTCTGAATAATAATAATTTCATAATCAGTATCATGAATTTATATAGCACTTTCATATACTCACTGTTTGGATATAAACTTATAACTAAGCCATTATTTTTGGAAGTAGTTTGGTGAATAAAAGTGGGTTAAAAGAGATTGAGGGCAAAAAAATTAAACTTCTTACAGTTTCTTCCATATACTCACAAATGGATCTGTCTTTTCACCCTATTTCAGGGAGCTATTATAAGGATCAAATAAATGTGGAAGTACTTCCGTAAACTGCAAAGTACTATATATACACTGAATGACAAGATAATTTTCTTTCCCTTAAAATGAAGAAAGCACATAAATATTTTATAGAGGGTCATGTGCTTTGGGGGAAAGCACCTGTAACCAGATGATTTTAATTCATTTTAGACTCAAAGATCTTGAAAACCTATTTATTACATTAATTAGAACTTGAAAGTATTACCACAAATAAGAAAATTAGCTTTACCTATACATAAGTATGAAAATCATGATTTATGAAAATAATATTCCAAGTAATATTTAAATATGTTCAAAGAAAATCATCACATTAGGTGAAACATGGTGTGTAAATTATTCAGTTTTACTAATATAGTAAATGACAATCCAAACATTCTTATTGTAAGATTAAAATTTGATTACATGATCATTTCTCTACTGCAACAGCTTTTGCGTTTTCAATACCGTTACTGATCTTTTAATCTAATAAATGCATTTCAGAATTCATAACAAAAGGTTTGCTTAAAATAATACATGATGTAATATACTCACCCCACCTCACTGTCTTGCTCTGCCCGAAGCATCGCAAGCCATTGCTGTTTATACACAGAAGACAGCCATTCTAAAATTTAAAAAATAAACAAATAAGGAACAATATAAAGGATTTAAACATTTAAAGAAGTTGGTAAAATTGTTACTTTTTAAACTCAAATTTAACATAGCCATAAATAAAGCAGTTAGCTTATATTTTATAAATATGCTATAACAATATGGCTTAATGATTTTTAAAGTGGTAGAAATTATCTTGCTTTAAGGCACAAAGACCAAAGTTTATTAGCAGTTACCAGGAGTGGGAGATGGGGGAAATGGAGAGTTATTGCTTAACACGTACTGAGTTTCTGTTGAGGGTGATGAAAAAAAAAAAACTGGAAATGGATAGTGGTGATGGTTACACAACACGGGGAGTGTAATTAATGTCACTGAATTGTACACATAACAGTGGTGGAAATGGCAAATGTTTTGTTAAATACATTTTACTACAAATTTGTTTTTTTTTTTAAAGTTATCTTGCTTTGCCTTAAGCGGCACTTTATTTAGATTATATATTCGGCTACTAACCAAAAGGTCGGCAGTTCAAAACCACCAGCTGCTCCCTGGAAACCCTATGGGGCAGTTCTACTCTGTCCTATAGGGTCGCTATGAGTCAAAACCGACTCAACGGCAACAGGTTTGGATTTTCTTGTTTTATATTTAAGTCATTAGTTACAATTATATTCTTGCTTTTAATAGTTTCCTTTTCACAGCTCAAATAAAGTTCCATTTGTGAGAATCACATCTGAAGCAATAATATTTTCAGTTTTTAAAAAAAGTTTTACCATAAGATTGAATAATGGGTTGTTACTTTATATTATCTAAAAATAATTAGTGTTTTGGGAAATAAAATCATCTCTAAATTTGCAGACAAATCATGCATGCTCAAGAAATAATTTTTACACATTAGATTTTGATAACTATTATTAAAAACTAAAGGATTTTAATTTCAATTATTCTTAAATACAAATTTTACATTATAGATATCTTTCCCTTAACAATAAGCATACATTTTTCCACAAGTCTGTGTTAACTGAAATTTTAATTATTTCAGATGAAAGTACACCTTTATTAAATATAAAAGTAGAATGAACTACTTTCCCCAATTACTACAGGGCTAATTTATTTTTTTGCTCGTTTATTCCCAACTAGAAAGGGCAGTTTCTCTATTTTTAAGTTCTTAACTGATCTCTCAAAGGTACTTAGCAATCTTTCTCAACCTAAAAAACCAGAAAGCCAAACCCACTGCCGTCAGGTTGAATTCCAACTCACAGCGACCTTACAGGACAGAGTAGAACTTCCCCATAGGGTTTCCAAGGCTATAAATCTTTATGGAAGCAGACTGCCGCATCTTTCTCTCATGTGGAGTGGCTAGTGGGTTTGAACAGCCGACCTTTTTGTTAGGAGCCGAGTGCTTAACCATCGCACCACCAGGGCGCCTTCTCTTCCTAAACGAGGGAGGGAAACCCTGAAAATCTGGATTTTCACTTCATAAGTTTCTACTTAACAAAGGTATACAGATGACTTACACTAATTTATTGGTCTTTTCTTAAAACCCTTTGTAAAAACACTTTTGAGCATTTCTTTCAGAATCCCCCCAAAATAATATTCTTGTTATTATAAGGAATAACTGTTAGATGTCTAGGCCACAGACAATTTATCTACAATAGGTAAAGACTAGTAGCAAATTTTACATAATGACTCAGTATACATATACATGTATTATGTATCTTATTTCTGTTCTATTGTATTTCATTTTTTAAAAAAGCTAATCCCCACACATTAAACTGATGTCTCAACCTACCAATGGGTTATACTCACAGCTTGAAAATTCACTGATCTAGAGATAGGATATGACTTTTATAATTCATTTATAAAACTGGATTTATAAAAGGGTTACACATACATATTCTCAAATATCATTCTGATTCACAATGACACTACAGGATGGAGTAGAACTGCCCCATGGGGTTTCCAAGGCTGTAAATCTTTACAGAAGCAGACTGCCACATCTTTCTCCTGAAGAGCGGCTGGGGGGTTTGAACCACTAACCTTCTGGTTAGCAGCCGAGCTCTTTAACCACTGCGCCACAAGGGCTCCTTATCATGTAAGATATCCCATGTTTTAAAATGACTTAAAAGTTATTAAGTTCCAACAACCTTTGTATAATCTCCTTTAAAACAAAAAGCATTTTAACAAAGTAATGAGTACATATTTTTATCCCTCCTATCTTGCCTTAGTCCAAAAGAGTAAAAAGTGGAACTAGAAATCTTTTTGGTCACTGGTAGCTCAGATTCTAGAACCTACACCTTAAAAGAAGCACCCTAAAACTAAGTCAACTGAATGCTAACTCAAATGCAATGTTAACAAGCTGTTATTGGGGGTTGGGGGAGAATCTGTGGTAAAATGTTTGGAAAACATGGGATGAAAATATGTGAAACAGGTTCTTTTTAATACAAAGTTTTTAAAATGTTTATGTACAGTCATATCTCTAAAAGGCAGATATACTAGGTAGAGTTTGCCAGAATCCTTTTTGGCATAGAGGTAATGTTCTGTAAAAATACTCTGAAAAGGTGCCTTCAAGAAATTTCCATTCAGTGAAAACAAGTTTAAGCACTTATCTTAAACTTTATAAGAACAAAGTCCCTAATAAAGACTGAAAACGGGCACTTCAAGGTGGTATTTGTCAGTGCCATAGACCGGCAGCTGCATATCTAGTCTACAGTAGAACTGAACACATTTTCCCAAATCCTATATAAAATAAATGATAGAAAACACTGAACGTTTCTGAGTAGAACAGCTGAGATGAGTCAAAAGAAACTTAATTATTTCCTTTGTCTTCTACAAAGGAGATGAGGAAGGAGACCTCCAAATTCATACTACCTGAAAATCTAATGTCTTAAGGTTTACAAACTTTAAAAAACAAAAAGATAACTTTTGTAACTTGCCAAGTATTTTACTGTTGAAGTGAAAGGAAAAGTTATCTTCAGGATACACACACACAAAAATCCATTTACAACCACAAAAGCCTATAGCAAAAAACCAAGACTATATGCTGGACTGTTACATGAAACACGTAAGGAGCCCTGGTGGTGCAACAGTTAAGGGCTTGGCTGCTAACTGAAAGGCGGGCAGTTCAGACTCAGCATCTCTCCAGGAGAAAGACCTGGCAATCTGCTCCCATAAAGACTACAGCCTAGAAAGTGCTATGGGGCAGTTCTACCGTCATATGGGGTCGCTATGGGTCGGAATTGACTCGATGGCACTTAACAACATGAAACATGCTAAGATGCAGACCATGAAAGTGAAGAACAAAAAGCCTAGATCCAAAAATTCCTATGTGAATAAATGAGTATTTTGTACCGGGCATTCAGGTATAAATCATTAATAAAGAATTATAGGTAAGTTTGACTCAAAGATACTCATATTTAATAACCTAACAGTCTAGTTCCTAAAGACAATTTTACAGGTAGTCACCAACTTACAACAGAGTCTGGTCCAATGATTCTGTTGTAAGTCGGTTTTGACGTAAACTGAATACCTCATTTTTTTTAGTTTTCATTATTATTGCCTTTTACTATCAGTATCTTTATAAATCATAACACTGAATATCTGCGAGTGAACATCTGAGAATGATAACATCAGCAAATTACATACTGCAACACTGTATGCAGTACATATTACTAACAATAAGACGTACCAAAAAAATTAAAACTAACCCAGACAGTCGTTAAGTGCAGATTGTCCTAACTCAAATATGCACTAAGTCAGGGACTACCTGTATTGAGTGATTTAAAGCTATTTTCTGAATAAAATTAATTACATGGATTTACATACTTCTTCATTTTAAGCAATTGATCTTTACAAAACTCAAACTGCTTTAACAATTATCTTACTTCAATTTACAAAAATAATAAGCATAAGGTTTCCCCATTATTCCCACAACAGTAATTCCTGATATAAAGTTTCAAGAACACCCATTTTCTTGGCCACAATGCAAACTAAGGGATAATGCACCAACTGCATTTCCCTGTTCTCAAAAGTGAAAAAATGAAGCATATTCAAGGATGGTGACTGAGAAGTTATTGTTGAGTTTCTACAACTGGGTATGCAAACGTGAAGAGATTATATATAGTGGAATTCTTTTAAGTAACCAGTAGAATGTAGTGAAAATATGGTACAAGAAAGATTTAGGGCTACATTTGAGCTCTGCTTCTCATTAGCTGTGTGGCCCAGGGCCAAGTTACACTTCATCTCCTCTATAGAAAACGGGACATATTTGCCTTATAAATTCCACAGATTATATTATATAACAAATGTTAGTGCATAATCTGGCATATTACCTGGACCATTGTGAAGAATTTACTTTTTTTTACTTTTCCCCTCCCTTTAAAGTTCTCATTATAGAGGCTAGAATCAAAACTTATTTGATAGAGTAAATGCACTATTAGGCTCTATGTAGTTGATCTGCGTTGGAAAACAATTTCAGTTCACATAAACATTTGTTGAGTGCCTACTACTTATCAAGCACTATGCTATGTACTGGAGGCAAAAAGATGAAAAATGTATGACCTTAAGGAACTCACGGTCCAACAAGGGTCACAGATATATTCTGTACTAAAATAATCTAGCAAGAGATGGCAATGTCTTAAACAAGGAAGTGGCAGGAGGCAAGGGAAGGAGGTGACTTTGAGAATTATCTATGAAAAAAAATACAGGACTTAAGGAATGGATATGGAGGTAAGGGTTTCAGAGGGGTGTAAGATGACTTCCAGGATTTTGCCTTGTGAGGCTGGGATATTAATGATGGTGATGACTGATATAGGGAAGACAGGAAGAAAAGCTGGCAGGGTTCAGGGTGCAGAGGAAAGATAAATACTGTTTTGAACACATGAATGGAAGCAATTTGTAGATGGCTAGCCAGCAGCTGAACAGCCAAGCATGAAACAGGGGAGACGTCAGAACTGGAATCTTTTAATAAATCATATAAATGCAGGACATCTCTGGAACATTATGTAGAATGAAAAGATTAGTGAGCCAAGAGCACCCTGAGGAAGTAAAAAAATGGGCAGAGTGAGAGGAGCTTACAAAGAAAAGAGAAGGAATGGTCAGAGAAAGGAAAAGAACCAGGAGAGCATAGCATTTCTAGACTGAGGTAGGACAGTAGAGAATTTCAAGGAAAAACGAACAAACCATGATATAAAATTCTAGAGAAGTTGAAGTAAGGCTAAGATGAGGTCACTGCAGTTTACAAATAGGACAACCCTAACTTTTGCTACAGTAGTTTCAGTGAAATACTGAGAGCAAAAGAGAGACTGCAGTAGGTTGAGAAGTGACCAAAAAGTAAGGAGATAGAACACCTGTAGACAACTCTTTGAAGACGGTGTCTGGAAAGAACAGTTGCTATGGAGGACTCAGGGTCAAGGGAGGGTGATTTGTTTTTATTTTATTTATGTATTTATTTTTAATGGAATAATGGTTTTATTGTACTTGTTTCTTTACAATCTTTTTTTTTAAGTTGTGCTTTAGATGAAGGTTTACAGAACAAATTAGTTTCTTATTAAACAATTAATACACATGCTTTGTGACACTGGTTGCCAACCCCAAGACATGTCAACACTCTCCCCTTCTCAACCTTGGGTTCCCCATTTCCATTCATCCAGCCTTCCTGTCCCTGCCTGCCTTCTCGTCCTTGCCCCTGGGCTGGTGTGCCTATTTAGTCTTATACACACGGTTGAACTACGTGTATTATTGTTTGTTTTATGGGCCTGTCTAATCTTTGGTTGAAGGGTGAGCCTCAGGAGTAACTTCAGTACTAAGTTGTCTGGGGGCCATACCCTCGGGGTTTTTCCAGTCTCTGTCAGACCAGTCGAGTCTGGTCTTCTTTTGGTGAGTTTGCATTTTGTTCTATCTCCAGCTCTGTCTGCGACCCTCTATTGTGATCTCTGTCAGGGCAGTTGGTGGTGGTAGCCAGGCACCATCTAGTTGTGCGGAGCTCAGTTTGCTGGAGGCTGTGGTAATTGTGATCCATTAGTCCTCTGGACTAATCTTTCCCTTGTGTCTTTGGTTTTCTTCATTAGCCCTTGTTCCAGACGGGGTGGGACCAGTGGATTATTTTAGGTGGCCGTTCACAAGCTTTTAAGACTCCAGACACTACTCACCAAAGTAGGATGTAGAACATTTTCTTTATAAACTATGTTATGCCAATTGAGCCAGATATTCCCCGAGACCATGGTCCTCAGCCCTCAGCCCAGTAATTCGGTCCCTCAGGGAGTTTGGATGTGTCTGTGAAGCTTCTATGACTTTGCCTTAGTCAAGCTGTGCTGACTTCCCCAGTACTGTGTATTGTCTTACCCTTCACCAAAGTTACCACTTATCTATTGTCCAGTTTGTTCTTATTTTTTTAATAAGAGAGATCTGGCCATATTTATAGGCCAAGAGGGAAAAGGTTGAAGATATAGATACAGATTAAATGATAAAGTAAAATTCCAGAACAAACAGGAAGTGATAGGATTATGAACACAGTAGAGGGTTGGCCTTGAACGAGGAGGGAGCATCTCAACTTCTGGGGCAGGAGAGGAAGGACAGACAGGTGAGGAAGACTGAGGATCTGGACACATTACTGTCTGACTACTTCACGTTTATACAGAAAACAGGAAGAGAGTTCTCATGCTGACAGTAAGATGATTGAGTAGGAGGCTCCAACGGAGTGGCAGAGGTTTGATATAAGTGCTGGAGTGAATGAAAAAAGAGGAGTGACCAAGTAAAAGTACCACAGGGAGTGTCAAGATCCAAGCTTAGTGTTGCAATGTAAACCAATACAAAATGGCACCAATACAAAAGATGCAGAAGGCTCTGCAGCAGTACTCAGCACACTAGAGGATATAGAAACAAAGAAGGCTTTTGTGAGATTGATTTAGTTTTAGGATTTTGCTAAGTTGCAAAAGTTTCAGGATTTTGCAAAGAGCTGAAGGCACTAGTCACAGAGAGTAGATCAGATGATCAACCATGAAATCCAGGCCAGACAGGGAAGAAAAGGTAGGAGAAGTTTCAAATACTGATAGGAAATATAGGGCTTAAATGGATTTAAAATCAAGTAATGGGAATGGAAAAGAATGAGGATATGAACATGCTAGAAGGTTATATACAGCCCTAAAACTACTGAGTTTCTGATGCTGAGAAATTCTAGGTTACAACACGGTTCATGGTGTGTCCATGGGTGGCGAGTACCTCATGATCAGCAAAGAAAAATTTTACTGGAGTTGAGGTCAAATAATTAAGAAGCTACGGTATTAA